CGGACTTCAAATCAGTTATTATCAAACATTAGAAATCAAATAAAGGACAATCAAACATGTCGCAATATTTATAATAATTATATATTTCAAAAAGACCCAATTAAACCAAAAAATTTTAAACAAATTTATAACTTAAATTATAAACTTAAAAAAGATACAAAAGTACCTCTAAATTTTGCGATTAATATTTTACAAATTACTAATGATCTACATATTTCGCCATTTATCCAATCAATAATTCACATCAAAGAGAAAATACCATCGATAATTTGTTATACTCATTTTATTATTAAAACTATTAAGTTTTTGTCAAACCAATCTGACTTCTGTATATTAGGCGTTGATAAAACATTTAATTTGGGTGATATACCTAACTGCTATAGTATTTAAACATATAGCAGTTAAGAGATATAAAACAGATGAATCCCCTATATTTTTAGGACCAATATATTTGCATGGAGATTCTGATATGACCACTTATCATACTTTTTTCTCTCATTTGCATTCTGTATTTTTAAAAAATAAAATAAATATTAAAAATATCATATTTGGTAGTGACCAAGAAAAGGCTATAGTAAAACCTATTCAGGAAATATTTAAATTTAATACTCATTTAATATGCACACGTCATTTAAAAGACAATATAAGAAAATATTTGTCGGAAAAACAAGTTGTAAATGCTGTTATGTCTAAAAAAATTATACAGGATATTTTTTCTTTTAATGGGATTTTATTTTCTCGGAATGACCAAATATATAATGAAAAATTAAACGATTTATACAATTATTGTAATAATGAAAATTTAAATATTTAGTAATTTATGAACATGTTTACATTCCCCTAAAAAATAAAATAATAAATTGTTTATGGACAAATAACAACTGCGAATCTATGAACCATGTTTTAAAATCATATATAAACTGGAAACAACGTCCTTTAAAAGAATTAATCGAAAAAATTAAGGATATCACAATGTTACAAGAAAAAGAATTTAAAAGATCCTTCTCAGGAAAAGGAGAATATTTTTTAAATAATGAATATCGCAATTATTTAATACCCGAATCGATAGATTGTCATGATACATTAAATAATTTACTTAATAGTCAAAGCAAAGATAAATTACATTCTTTAGATAAAACTTTATCTGTTTTAAAACCAAAAGGCTCAAAAAAACCACATCAGCGACGTAGAATTAAAGCAGAAAGGACTCGATAAAATATTTTTTATAAATTTTAATTCCTTATTTTTCCCCAATTTTCCCCTGCTCATAATCTATTTCATCAATATATATAATTTTATTATCCTAAATGTATATTTAAATCTTCTCTGCCGAACAAATTATATTTTATGAACGCAATAATTATATTATAATAACATTATATATCAATTTGGTAAAAATAATTATGATTTATATATGAATGAATAAAATGAATTACCATCGTTATTAATTTATCTGATTAATAAAAATTGCAAAATTTAAAAAAGACTACTAATTTTTTACCAAAATATAGATAATGCTATAAAAAAAATCATAAATATTTTAGTCATCATGATAGAATATGGCGAAATTTATTAAACACATTCAAAAATATTATTTTTAAATTTTATAATAAAAAATTTAAAGACGCCATCTAGCGGATGGAATATTATTTCTTTTACTTTAATAAATAAAAAAGGTTATGAGCAATTTTAATTTTATAAAAGTATTGAAGCTAAAATATCTAATAGATAATTTTTTACACCTGTCCAAACCTTTATCTTATTTATAAACTAATTTATTCTTAATTAATATTAGGAAAGTGAAAACCCACTGGAAAATGTTTGGAAATTTAATACATAAATATAAGCCGAGCGATATTTAGTAATAAATGATTTATTATGTGGTTAGCCGAGCGATATTTAGTAATAAATGATTTATTATGTGGTTTGTCGAGCGACATTTACTAGCCGAGCGATATTTAGTAATAAATGATTTATTATGTGGTTTGTCGAGCGACATTTACTAGCCGAGCGATATTTAGTAATAAATGATTTATTATGTGGTTAGCCGAGCCACATTTCCCAATCGAGCGATATTTACTAGCCGAGCGATATTTAGTAATAAATAATTTATCATGTGGTTTGTCGAGCGACATTTATTAGCCGAGCGATATTTAGTAATAAATGATTTATTATGTGGTTAGCCGAGCGATATGCCCAGTCGAGCGATATTTAGTAATAAATAATTTATCATGTGGTTTGTCGAGCGACATTTACTAGCCGAGCGATATTTAGTAATAAATGATTTATTATGTGGTTAGCCGAGCGATATTTTCTAGCCGAGCGATATTTTCAGCCGAGCGATAAATAGACCCACCCGCTATATATCTCTAATTCGTGAACGAAGTTCGTTTTTTTGAAAAAAATGATGAACGGCGTTCCTTTTATTTTTGACGAACTTTGAACGTGAACGCGTTCCTTTTTTATGACGAACGCGTTCGAATTTAACGTTCGTTCAATTTTAAAAATATTTTTATTTATTAATATTTCCAAATTTTTTAAAAAAAAGTATTATTTAAATTTTTAATCGGCTGGGTATTTCCTTTTCACATTTCAATTTTTTTAACACAGTTTATTAATTTGAATATTATTGTTTATTAATTTAATTTATTAGCATAAGCATGGATATTATTATTTAATCCTCATCATCTGATTCTGAAAATCCAAAATCAGATGAATTATCATTACAATGGCCAAATATGATAAATGTTTTACATTAACATCCTAAATTGAAGGAACTAATCCAATGCTTAGTGGCCAAAAAGTATTATATTGTCAAAATCTTCAGGTTCCAATTTAAAACGACATTTGACTTTAATATTAATTATTTGATTTTATATGATAAAACTAAGTTAAATCATTAAATTTGAAGAAATAATGCATCTGGGATATTTGACCCCAACAGTAACGATAGTTATTTTAAAATTAAAAAAATAAGTGGCCTCAGATATGGTCAACTTTTGATAGACGCCGTATTAAATGGGATTAATAAAAGGTATTAAACCTATTACTACTCAATTACATATATTTTATTTTTTTAAAGATTTGAACATATATAGGATCAATATGTTCTTTCTGCAATTATACATCCAGCATTCAAACTTCAATGGCCATGGATAAAACTTCCACGGAAAGAACCTATTAAAAATAAACTTATAACGTCATTGAAAAAAATGCTATGAAAACCCTAGAGAACTGTTAATTTCGTCCTTTTTTTGTCGAGAGTAGAGAATGGATTGGAGGATAACTTATCTCAATTTTTTTGCAAATAACAAAACAATATGTTTTTAATTAATTCTCCACTTTAAAAAAGCTGTTTATTAAGTATAATACCGCAATCCCCTCATCTGCCCCTGTAGATCGCGTTTTTAGTATAGCTAATGCCGTATTAAATGCCAATTGTTCCTGTCTATCAGATAAATATTTTGAAAACAATTGTTATTAAAATTTTAATAAGAAAAATTTTTTATAAATAAAAATATCTTTTTATTCGCTATATTATATTATATTTATAATTATATTATCAAAATAAAACTATATTATTTTTTAACATGGCTAAAATATATTGTATTAAAAAATATAAGTTTATTCATATTAAATTAAATTTAAAAAAAATTTATAAAATTTTGAACGATTTTATGAACGTGTTCTTGACCTTGAACGCGTTCCTTTTTTAGAAAATGAACTTGAACGCGTTCGATTTTTGTCAATGAACGTTGAAAAGTTGTGGGGTCGTATTTACCCCACCTTTGTAGTGAAGGATAATTAATATCAATAATAATCTTCGATTTTTTAGAAATGTTTACAGCACTAATTCTCTATGTTTGCTCCTATGTAAATAGACTATCTAATTAGTCTATGAGTATTAAATATATTGGTATCATCACAAGGAAATTCCCATTGTTTTTTTAGTGTCCTAAATCTTCTTTAAGAAAAATAGGTTGTGTGGAATTTTAGAAATTTGTCAAACTTTTGAAATTTTTTTTTTTAATATGGAAAAGACAGACAAAAAAGTGTATTAATTTTATTGAGAAAATGTATAATATCCACTATAATAACGTTTAATAAATATTAAAGCGTTATCACTGATTAGAACGTAAATAATCTGTTTGGCAATTTAATTAAATAGAATTTAAATTGGGATGAATATTTTTGTCAAACACTATAAATAATAAATTTAAATATAATCAGGCAATAAAAAATTAAAATATTTAGAAAATTACCGTTAAAAGTTACTTATCATTATATATGATCTTAAAATTTATATATATAAAACAGAAAGAGTTTAAAGAGGCATTATAAAGGTTCAATTCACCCCTTTTAGCAATTTGTTATAAAGGTTGGGTTAAGGTTCAGAAAAAGGTTCATTCCGGTATAATCGAACGGGTTACTTATGAATCTAATAAAAAAAATATTGGCATCGAATTGGTTTTATATATCTATCCGATATTTTCTTCAAATCCGTAACCTATGTTAATCAACAACGATGAAGCCCTATTTTTATAAGAAAATGTTTATTAATTAAAATATTCAATTTTCAGAAGTCTATCTTCTTATGTTAATAAATTAGAGAATAGTTAAATAGTTTGCTTATTCTTTACCAAAATTATATTAATTAATGCCAATTAATGTTTGAATATCTAAAAAAAAATTTTTTGATGCATATTTTATTTGATTTTTTTAACATGTTCATTTTATGCTCCAGAAATTTGCTAAAGAGATCTATTACTAATTCTGCGATAAACTATTATTATTTTTTCTTTATAATATAATTAGGGGGAAAAAGGTGTTATTAAATTGAAATTTACGAGATTATTTTATATTTCACAATAATTCAGGGTATTCGTTTGTTTCTCATTATATATCAAAATTCATTAATACTTTTTAATCAAATATCGAACATTTTAGATACACAAAATAAATATATTTTCAATTATTCATAATTCGATATTATACATCTTTGTACATTATATTATCCCTAACTTCTTTGAATTTCAAAATCTTCATTAAAGGTTGGATTTGGCAGTGTTGGAAAGATATCTTTCTCTATTTGATCGGCTATCATTTTTGACTGTTTGAAAGTTTTGCGTTGAGTTGAAACTTTCTGGCTAGTTTCACTAATCGGAGGAATAAAATCATCCAATATTTTATCGATATTTTTATTATTATCGAAAATAAATTCATTTTTTAAATAAGGTTGAATGTTATACTCTTTATGCCAGCGTTGTCCAACAAGCTTCTCATCGAATAATGGTATATCACTCACTTTCCTTAATTTTAAAATATGTTCACACGGTATTTGTAATCTCGATTTATATCCACAAGTACAATCATAATAATTAGCACTTATGTAATTGGTTAATTTTGTAGTTTTGGATAAGATTAGTTGGGTTTCAATTTTCTCAAAACCTGCGGTAGTTAGCAATTTCTCGTATAAATACTCAGAACTATCCATCTCAATTTTGTTAAAACTTTTCTTTTTATCATTCATCATTATCTTGTGGATAGATTCTTGCTCCGAGGAATCTATAATAATTTTTAATCTTTTAAAAAGATCGCATAGGGAAGAATAGTTAACCATTTTAAAAACCCGCCTCATGACTTCAGTACGGTTATTGGTCAATATGTTAAAATTATTTTTTCGCGGGCGCCATGCTAAACAAAACTCTTCACGAATGGGATGCCAATTCTTATTATAATACTCTAATACTTCCTCCACTTGCATACTTTCAAAGCGTCGATAAAATTTCGTGTATCTAGCTAGTGTACTTGCATACACCATTTTCTTTAATATTTTAAGTATAGGTTTTACTTGGACATCAAGAATGTTTCTTTTTTTTATGGTGATTTCTCGTCGAAATGATTGAAATACATGAAAAAGACAAATTTCTATTTCTACCCCTGGAAATGCGTCTTTGTATGCTTGGTGACCTGCAACGTCGGTGCCTGATAGGATTATTTGGATTTTATTATGATTATTATTATTAATTTTAAAAAAGCCGCACATGTTAAAAATGTTATTATAATTTTCTGATGCAACAATCCATACACCAGCAAATCTTGTGGATTCTTCGCCGTCAACAACGTACAAAGTGAAAACAGGTAAACTAAAATTATTCAGTTTATAAGTTACATCTATGAGCAAAAGTTCTGGGAAGCGTGCAAATATTTCTTTCATAGCTGGTGTCTGAAAATATAACCCTTTGAAGGTGTTATCTTCTTTATAGATTTCTATGATGTTATTAATATTATCATCTTGCATTGCTTTAATAATAATATTTAAATCATTACTATCATTCGGAACAATATTTTTATATAATTTGTATTTTAAATTGTATATATCTTTTTTCTTGATAAATTTTCCCTTTGCACTTAAATCATTCCTGATCAAAGCTATATTGGTATTTCCATCAAGCAAAAGACTTGCTGTGACCATTTTTTTCTCTTCTTCGTTTAATTTCCTTTGTTTAGGCCGTTCCCTAAAGACAATGGGATCTAAAGATGCAAAATATAATTAGAACTTTAATTAAATTATTCAGTGGCATAATACTTGCAGAACCCGCAGCACAAGGGAAAATTAGTGCCCCCCCCCCCAAAAAAAAATGTTTAATTAAAAGGAATATCTAATCATAGGAAACTGTCAATATCTTTTTAAATATACCCATCAGAAGGGGGTCTATTCACAATTTAACTAAAAAATATAGAAATTGTGTCAAAACAAAAATTTTAGACCTAGTCCAGATTTGAAAATATGTTTTTAATAAATTGGCAACTTCCATTGGTGACCATTTTCCTATTTTATAAACTCATCATTTTAATAAAATTTGAGGAATAATATTTTTTGGTAAATTAATCTTAATTATTTATAAACTAAGCTATATATAAACACTTAAATTAGGGGCCCTAAAATTATTTTCTTGAATGAGAGGGGAGGGCTGTAGTGTTACATTACTAGAAATATTGAATTATATTATATTTATGTCCACATCAATGTGCTATTTTTCAGCTTTAAATGATTTTTTTGTTTTAATATTTTAAAATATGATTTTGTTAAAAAGTATTTCAGCATGTGTAGAAAACCTATTCTGCAATTTTTAGAAAATTTTGTGATTAAATTTTCATATGAATATAATTATACAAAGTTTTCCATAGATTTTATATATTATAAATGACTCAAAAGTTAATGGTAAAATTGTCCAAAATTCACAAGGTAGGCCTTCTAAGCATGCTAAATTACATTTTCAATAATATCAGATTTTAAATTTAAAAAAAAACATGCTCAAAAAATGGTATAAATTTGAAAAAATAATATGCTGATGGAAAGACATTTTGATGCTAACATTATATATACATAAAATTGATTCTAATTTATATATATATGATATAACACTTGCCTAATACGTGGTTATGATTTTCATTAATTAATGTAATTTCTAATAGAGGGTAGGGTTCCTTTTTATGAGTAAAGATGATTTTTGAAGGGCAATCATGTTTCATAGTTCTCCTTTTTCGAATTCCTTTACTAGCTGATTTTTGCTTTTTCCCCTCAACACAGGAAAAATATAGTTTTCGGTAAACCAAAGGTGATGGCTCTTTTAGTTTTTCACATTTGTAGATAAAAAAATTGGTATATACATTATTTTCATAATCATTCAAAGTTTTTCTGACATCTGCATATGTTAAAAATTGATTACCAAGTGCTAACATCCCTGTCAATTTTAATATACAAAGAAAATTAAATGAATAAATAGTCAATACTCATTATCAAATAATATAAACAAGTAAATAATTATATGATAAATTTAAACTTCAAAGTATATTATATAAAAATTCTCTATAAGGATATATAATTTATTTATCATTATTGTATTTGATCAAATACTAAAGAAATAAAATGATTAAATCTCATGAAGAGGGTAAATCTCCAACAAATAATGGGTATAAATTTGAAAACTAAATATCAATAGAGAGCAAAATGATTTATAGCTAAATAATCTACTAAAATTATAACATGTAGAATACTTTACTTCTGTTCAATGGGCATAGATAAATGATCACTGTTATTTACCTTGATAATTTTAAAAATAACATTTTTTGATTAACTAAATTTTGATCATTGTATCTAAATAAAGCGATTGAAATCTGTCATCTATCAACTAACCTGATAAATATGCAAATAATGACATGTATTATATAATTATACCAGATTGTCAAATAATTAATTATATATTTTTCGAAATTGTTAAATACGTATGGAAATAATATAAAATTACATAAATAATGTGCAACGAACCTTAAGCAATCAAAGTTGGAAGAATTCGTATGTAATATTTTTTACAATTCTTATTTGATAATGTAGAGTGAATAAGAGTCTTGAAATTTGTGGCCATATTCAAAATGATTATTATGTTTATACCAAATGTGACAGGGTATAGAATGATAGTTAAAAACATTTCCAAACGTTAATAAAGAAAACAAATGGGGTAATATTAATTATTAAAACATATTCTAGGATATAAATTGACAGTTGCCGTTTTACAAATATCCTTTAATAATCCATGTAAATTATTTAATATTATAAGCAAAAGTTTAAAAGGACGAGTCGGGCAATCCGCAATAATAAATTATAGCTTTGGTAGGAACCTGGCCCGAGCTTTGCAGATCCTACCAATTCTAAATTTAAATTTGTGTAATTTTAATATGTATTAATATTAGGCCATCTTCAGTTTAATATATAAATAATTTTTTAAAATAATTATTTTGTTCTGTCTTTGCTTAACCCGCCTGCCCGATGTAATTATTTTATTGGTTGGTTTGGCTCGTTATTCAATATATTTTAATGTATTTTTACTTAAACTTTTAAAACATGCAATATTATGAAATAAGAAATTGATTTTTAATAAATAGAAGTCTGTTCTGATCATTTTGTACGAAATATATTTCAAATTTACCCCTCTAATATTAAGAATATTTTCAAAATGTCATCTCACCCACCAGCAAACTTCTAGATTTGTCTTAAAGATTTCCATAAAACGCTGATTTATCAATTCATTTTCACTGCCTTTTAACGTAATTAAAATCATTTTTAGATAAATGGGCAGAGGGCAAATTTATAAAAAAATACCTGGGTGGGTGGGCAAGCTAGTTAAACGTTTTTAAAACAATGGGACGCGTTTTTGTTAAAACCCGTTCACTGCAGAAGGTAAAACTAACTATAAAAAAGTTCAAAAAATAAAATATATACAAATATAATTACAATACTTTTTCTAAATTTTATAAAAGTATAGTATTTGAAAAGGTGCCCGTTCGAGCATCATTTAGATTATTTTCTTTAAAGTTTAAAAATGAAAGGAATTAAAATTTATTTTTATTTTTTAGTTTCCCCTAATTTTAATTAACTGTCATAATGATAATGTTAGAGTGAGTTTGTGAAATTAATAATAGTAAAAGAAATTTAAAAGAAAATTAATATTAAAAAATCCAGTTAGATTCAATAAAAAGAATATGTTTATTTTTAATAGAATTTAAAAAAAATACTTTTGTGACTTTTAAATAGATAATTTAGAAAATTAATATGGTAGTGTGTAAAAAGTTTATATTTCTAGCCTTATTTTATAATTCTTTTTTTCTTCTACCACACTTGTATTTGCAAATGGGATAGATTTGGGATGGGTTTAATATATATATATTACTGGGCTTGGATGGAAAAAACTATTCAATAATGTATATTTAAACATTTACGAAATAATTTTCAGTTCAAATATCGACCGTTTATCAATATTTTTTAAATAGCTATATCGACCGTTTATCAATATTTTTTAAATGGCTCTAAAATGACTGTTAAAAAATAAATTGTTAATAATATGGTCATTTTAGCTTAAATATGCTAATTATTAAAAATATTACGTCATGTAGCACATAAAGGTATTGTTATAAATTCATTATTTTTAACTATTGTCATAGGGATCTAATGAATTTTATCTTAATATAGTAATGTGGTTTTATAATAATATATATACTATTTATACATTATGAATTATTATATTTGTCAACTAGATATGGTTATAATGATTGAATATATTTATGATAATAAAATAATAGGTGAGTTAACTACCTAACACCCATACATTTTAAATTCCGCAATCGTTTCCATATGATTAACAACCTTATGAATGTGTATATTAAAGTTTGAATAAACCAGTACATGTATAATTTAGTATAAGAGGATTAGTTTACTTATAGATTTTAGCAAATTTTTAAAATTTCAGTTATTTTTAGTACCCGTTTTTAGAAATCATTAAAAATTAAGTATTCTAAAATTGTCTGAAATTCACAGAGTAATTGAGGAAACCGTGGCACTGAAAATTTCATAAAACTTTTAAAAATGTTTCAATATTAACAGAAAATATTCTCAATTACCTCTTGAAAGGTAGCCTTTTTCTTAGAAAATTAAACTTTTAAATTTATTTCGATGTTTTAAGCCACAAAAACCCAGGACTTGGAACAAGTAACAGAGTACATTTAGGAATACTCATAGTGTCATAAAAAAATATTTGAGAAAATATCTTTGTATAAATAAAGATTGGAACACGAAAAATATAGAATTTTATGATACATATTAAAATGTAAAAAAGTTTTATTTAAATCTAAAATAGTCCCACGTACCCTTGCCTGTTATGCACCTATTATTCTCAGTGATAAAAATCATCTATAACTAATACTCTATCTTATAACACAATATATTATTCGCATAAGCTATAAAGAAGAATTTAAGCTCTCATTTGATTTATTATATATGAAGTTTTACATATTTCTAACTCCAGACGATATTAATCAAAGATAATTTTTTTATAATTTCGCGTCGAAAATATATTTTTGAGCATAAAATTTTATTGAGTAGACATGAAATAAATAGTTTTCATTTAGTGATTTCATAATTACCTATTATAGGATTAGATTTCAAATCTTAGATTAAATTTGTTTTAGAATAAATTGGAATGGATTCTTATACCTCTTGGTTTGCTTTTTCCCTTAGTCCATAGTGCTCCGATCTCCTCTTTGCAATAAAGTATTTAAGTTTTAAAAATTTGTTGTGCCCTGATTTTGCTACAATCGTATTCCTTTCAGCTAATTTCGTAATGAATCGTATTCCTGCCAGCTAATTTCGTAATGAATATTTGTGTATTTTTTAATTTGAAAAAATCAGAGATTTGTTATATTTTATACAGAGGTCAATTTATATTTGTTAAAGACTATTGTATAATATATTTAGGTTAACAATATAATATTATTTGTATATCGCATTAATATTATCTGATGTTATAACATTGTGAATTAATTATATAAGTCATTTTAAATAGAATAACTTATATATTATAGTAGAGAGATAACTGACATATAATAAATTTGTTTTAGTACTTATAGATATAAAATCACTAACCATATTATTGTAGAAGTATAAAATATAAAAGCATAAATTGAGAGTAGTTAAAATTTAAGATAAAATTGTGTGAAAATCACAAAGTAAGTAATCTATACATACTAGAATTTCAATTCAGGCAAAATTACGTTTTTCTCAAATTAAACCCATGTTATACTCATAGTAATAAAAATTTTCCAAATTTAATGATATTTGTTAAAACACTGTGAAGGCAGGAAATATATTTAAAATCAAATCACCTCTTTCCAAATTATGTTAAACAGATTGAAAAAATGGTTGCTTCAAAAAATATCTGAAAATATGCAAGAAAGTTCTGTTTTTATAAAATAACATATTTTCTTATCTTTTAAAAAAAAAAATTAAAAGACTGCGAAATAGAATCTTATCTCTGGGGCTTTCAATAACTAGTGATTTAAGTATATTTGAAAAACTTTAAATTCCTTCTAAGATATGATAACTTATTTCTCTTGGACATATATTACTAACATTTTCTTCAGTAACTGACCCCTTTATAACTCTTTTAATTTGTATTTGTTTATTCATTTTATTGAAATAGCCCGACTCGTTAAACGAATTGCATTTAAAGTAGATTGGCATGTTCTGCTCATATTTATTTTTAAATTATAATTTTTTAAAAAATAATCATTGTAATGTGTTTTCGGCACATCATTAAGATAGAATATGGTTAAAGACCGATTTTGATTGTAAAATTCCCTCCCAGCTTTCATATTAACCGCATTATCTATAACCAAAAAATATACTTTTGTAGAATTTAATTCTTCAGTTGTATTTTTAAATTGCTGGGATATATAATCTGTCGTATAACGATTTTCCTGAGTATTTAAAAATTCATAAAATATGGAAAACGATGTCATTGCCATAATTTATAATGCTTGATAAATGGAAAACTTCATGTATAATATCTGCTATCTTCATTTCTATGTTTTCAAGAGATTTATCTTAATAAATACATATATTTCCAAGAAGATAAAATCGATTTCGATATATTAATTTTAAAAAAAAACATATTTTCGATTAAATCACATCTAAAAATATCATTTCTTAAAAATTAACTATTTTCCAAAAATTCTAAGTTCCGAAAATGAAATAATTTAATCAAAATTTCCTATACTATTATATTATTATATTTACTGTGCAATTAAATTGATAAGCAGATTTATTTAAAAAACTAAAAAATATATAATTATCAGAGACATGCAGAACTGGCCTAGGTATACAGGCCGTATTTTGATTTTTTTAAATACACCCTGGCCGGGCATAAATTTCTTCCCCTAAAATACATGGACCAGGCCGAATATCTTAAAACCGTAAATTTTAAATTCCCATTATTAACTATAAAAATTAAAAATAAATAATATATTAAAATATAAAGCCCCGGCCAGGTCGGGCAGATTTGTTTTTTAAAACCGATTTTTTAAAAAATCTGGCTTGTACCATGCTAATGGTACCTCTGCAGGTCTCTTATAATTATATAATATATTTAATCAAAAATATTAAAAATATAATTTTGGAAGACCATATTTGCCCGGCTTACCTATGTGCAATTAGTTATCTGTTAAAAAGAAATATACTAGAGCTATAAAATATTTAAAAATTATAAACATTTAAAACCATTAAAAACAAAAACCAATCATAATAATGTTATAGGAGACCGGGATCTTGTCAAACCTTAAAAGGCAA